CAAACAATATTATAAGCACTTTAGAATTATTACATAAAAGTCTATTCACATAGATGAGATTGGTTACTGTTATGTTTACATTTTTGTAAGAATTTTAGAGATAATCACTTCCTGTAGATCTTTTACTTCCATTTACTCCCAAAATGACAAGTAACAACATTTCTGAAAAATGTTCAAAATTAACCAATTTTATCATATGAATATGAAATCATATCTTGAAAATTGATGAAGAACTGGCATTCTTAAGCAACCTGGCTTTGTGGGGCATACAATTTCTTTTTCTTCCTATCTTAATGACTTGTTTAGGTACTTCTTAGAATGTGGAAGTGTCTCTTCCAAATCAATATTTATTGCTACATAATATCGGAGGTGAAAAGGAAGCAAAAAAATGACCTACTTCCTACAAAGGAAAATTCTGGGGAGAGTGGGAGAAGATAGACCTGGGAGAGAGGGAAAAAGAAGATGATGATGTAATAAATCTGTGGTATTTCTAGTCTGATATTGTGCCTCACCAAGTAAAGACCAGGCTTTATCTCTCAGAGTAATCTGAAAGTCTATCCTTATGCAGGATAGGAAGTTACAGCCCTCATCTGTAGTATTTCCCTGCAATGATAGAGATTGACACATACAGTGATTAAAATGACACTCAAATGCAGATTCCCAACATTGTCAACTTCCAAGAGGAATGCAATATATAGTTACAAAATTTGGAATTTAGTATGGTAAGACAAGTTCATATATGAGTCATTGAAATGACATTGCTAGAGATTATATCATAGTAAACTTCTACATATAGCTGTGTCAAAGATGCAAAATCTACAACAACTGTAACAACATTCTATTGTTTTGTGGATGATATTATTCATACAATACATATGACTATGCTAGTCACACTAGTTTTTATCTGGTTTCTTTGGGGCAGCAGTTGTTGTCACAGAATTAATATGATCATTGTCTCATTTCTAAAGTATCTAAAGACTAAATACCTCCAAGGAAAAGAGAAAATAACACTTTTAAGTTCAATTTGGGTCTAAGATGTTGATCCGCATGCTCTCATTTCATCTTTAGAAACTTTTCCAGGGAGGTTTTATTATTACCCTAATAAAGACATGCAGAAACTGAAATCAGGCAGGAGAATTAACATGGTAAATGACAACCAAAGTGACAAATTTGGGATTAAATTTTGACTTGAATGACACTTCATGCCTTCCCATAGTAATTTAACAATACTTATAATTGTACATCTACTAATATTTATTGATCAGTAAGAATGATAATAAGGGATCATTTAAGGAAAATGATTCAAAATAGATGACAGAGGTTTATACCAGGGACTTCAAAACACTCTAGTCATACAATCTCACATAATCCTCAAATCAACCCTGTGAAAAAGCATGGTTTTATTTAGAAAATAAAGATTTTTAATGTAAAATATTTAGATTGCTTAGTGTTTAAATTGCAAAACAATTTACAACTTTTGAGTCATAGCTGAATTAAACACATTCCATGATATTAGCTTTGGTTCTGTCTTAAACTTTATTGTGTGCATTTAACTATTATTACAGTTAAGTATATAGCATCTATTAAATGAAGAGGCCAGGGCTTTCTAATTTTTATACACAAATGTATCTTAGGATGACTCCAAACTAATAATGTGCTAAAATTAAGCTATCAATTTAATAAAATTTTTGATAACCCAAGTAAATTGATATTTTAATGAAAAATTATCAAGATCACTAAAATAAATTGCCCATATTTTTTCAATAAATGCATAATTAAAAGTTAGGTAAAACTGTCATTTTTTTTAAAAAGTAAAATAAAGAATAAAATATCTTAAAATAACAATGGATATTAAGAAAATATTTCTAAAGCAAGTGCATACTGTATTTTTCTTACATATTACATGTATTTTTTTAAATTTTTCAGGAGAGTTTTTTTAATTACATATATTATTTTAAATGTAGGGAACATGCATTAAAGTAGATTATAGAGAAAATAGTTATGAGTTTAAAAGAGTTCTGTGTTTAAGCACTATACTTTTTGTTGTTGTTTCTGAAGGATATATTATGCAAAGATATTTTACACTACACCATTAACATGCATAGTCCAATAGTGCTACAGAACTGTAGCTGCAGAAAATATCTACATGTGACTACATTAATTGAGACCCCTTTCTTTGAAAATCTACAATGATGAACATATTTGCTAAATATATTTTCCTATTTTTGGATGGAGTTATTAGTTTGAAGTATATTATTGATGATATTTCACTATGACCTACACAATTATCATTTTCATTGATAGTAATGAAAAGTTTTGATTGTTTTATTCTGTGACTTCCAAGCCCCTATCAAGGTGCCAAGGTGCCAAGTAATTTGTCAAGAGTATTTTTCTGTTGAAAGGATAAGTTGTTCAATTTTATTTGACTTAGAGCTCGAGAACTGCTTTCCAATGTATGGATGTCTTGGAGAGCATCCATATAACACCAACTGATGAGTTTATTAAAGTACTCCTAGGTCCTGTGCTTGACATACTAAATCAACCTCAGAAAGTGGGATTCTAGAGTCTGCATTTTAACAGGCTCTCCAAGTGATTCTTAAGGCAAATACAATCTCATGCTACTTTTCATGACAAGAGAGATATAATCACAATATACTCTATGGTAATGTTTAATCAGACTTCAGTTATCAGACTTTATGAAGTCTATTAACAATTTGAGTTTACTCAAAATAATAGAAACAAGATAAATTATGCTTCAATATTTATGCAATATGATAAAGAAACAATAAAGTTTATTGAATATTTACAATATCCTAAAGACTTTCATATGCATTTTACAATGTACTCTTCATCTAATACCAATAAGTGAAATAAGTATTGTTATCCATATTTTAAAGATGAAGAAACTCATATTAAAAAGACTTCACATAGTATTGCCAAAGCTGAAGCATCATAAATGGCTGAGCTGAGATTCAAAACTACATGTGACTTACTTCAAGGCTCAGCTCAACTCTTCCATTTTTGAATTTCGGCTGTTGAAGAAACTAGGAATGTTAGGAGAAAGGAGGCTTACCATCCAGGAAATAAGGCAGTGTTCTTAAAATAATTTTGGAGAAAAGTCAGGATAGGAAGTGAGTAGTCTTAATTTGTATATCTACTGGATAATAGCTGTGTTTGGAAAAACAAAAGTGTATTAGGGCTTCTATAATGGTTTTGTGACAAAGCAAAAGAAAAACAAAAAGATGTGTGCTTTAATAGACATAGTCCTTAGCAAACAAAAACTAGGTGATTATTTTTCACAACTGTTATCAAAGAAATTTCTGTATGTAGTTTTGGTGGCTTGGGGCATAGAATAAAATATCATGGTCTTCTGGTTACTTGATAACTCTTTATTGATAAAATAACTGAATATAATGTACCTCTCATTATTGGATGAACATAAGGAAACATCTATTAAATGAAGAGTAAAAACTATGTTTGAGAAGAAAACTTTCAGGAAATATATAGTACAAAAAAATAATGAAAGTATGAGTTAGGAATATGAACGTATAATTAATAAGGGTGCCTAAACATGAAAATCATTATTCTTGAGTGATTTTGTCCAAAGAAAAGTACTAAACTGACAATGAAAACAGTTATCTACAGTTATATATATCTAATTTTTTTGGACAATTTTAAAGAAGTTTATGGAGATATAACTCCTTTCCAGATTTGGCAATGCACCGTAGTAGTTAAAAAAATATGAAAGCAAACTCTATGTCATTTTTCTGGGTTGCCAGAAGAATGCCAATGTCATTCACATTTTATAAATTTGATTTTCAACTTTCATATATAAAACAAGTATATCAAAATAGTGTAACTATTGACAAAAGAAATATGCTCTTAAAAATGCCATCATGAGGAGGAAATGGGTGATATACAGAAATACATTATTTCAAAAGATAAATAGTAAATGGCCAGGGAGAAGCCTCTTTTGTCAATTTATGGAGTTAGCATGTTGTTAAAATTACATGATGAGTTGGAGGGATAGAAAGCATATTTTGAATAAACTGATTTCAAATTTTTCTGCTATCAATGTTGGTAAGTCAAAGTTACTTATATTTTAGAAATCATTTTCTTCAACAGAAATTGATTTGAACAAATGAAAGAGGTTTTAAGAAGGTTGCTCTTTAACACTGAGAAAGAAGAGATCTATGTGTTTAATCTGATAATTTTTACATGTGTGAAAATGCCAATTCCATCATATTATTAATCCACTGCCTTTTTCTTTCTGTTTCTGTTTGGTTTATACTTGGGGCCTTATATAAATAGTTACAAAAAATAAAGATAATGAAAATCTATGGAGTGCAGTGAAATATATGATAATGTTTACTTGATTTCTTAGGAACTTGAATGCATTTGATGAAAAGTCACCAATTTACATGGGAGTGACATTTACCAAAATGCTGTATTTTGTTGTGTTTGTACTTACTGGTCTTTATTAGGTTATAGATTGTATAAAGGCAGAAACCTACTGTCCTACTGCATAAAGATAATAGTAAAGAGTTGAGTTAAATGACAGCCAGAATTTTGTGAATTTAAATTATTTTCGTTTTCATAGCACAAGGTGGAGGAATTGAAATTGCAATAAGATATTTTATAGATACAGTTTATATCAAAAGTTTGCATGTAGGCAAACTTAAGAAACAATATTAAAAACCTAAGGTTTTTGGCTCAATGAAAAACAACTTTAAATATTACAATTTGACTTTTTTCTCCTCTGAATTTATTTTTAGGCTAACTGTGGTAGAGTCACCTTTTTAAGAATTAAACCATTTATTGCATTCCTACAAGTTACTTGATAAATTGGAGTCCAATGTGGTATTTAATTATATGCAAAACACTGAAAATATTGGTTTCACCCAAAAGTTCCATAAGATGGTATGGAAAAATCTGAATGAACTTTTTGGCCAATCCAATACAATAGTTTTGAAAAACACTATATATTAAATTGCTCTTACCTTATCGCCTTCGGAAAAAGTGATGCCATCCACTGCTCTTTTCCAAGTGATTTCTGGAATAGGCTCCCCTTCTGCTTCACATATTAGTGTGACTTGACCATTCTCATATGTAGTCTCATTTTTAAGCTGTATTATGTGAGGCTGTACTGTAAAAAATATATACATTACTCAATCTGTATTGGAGGAAAATATTACTATTCATGGTGACCATTTAAGTACCCTTTAGCATAGTATGGAATTATTAACTTTGAGCAGATATAGTGTCATGCTTTGCTTTATAAGAGTGCCAGGAGAGTTGCAAATTGTAGGAGAAAAAACTAGAAAATAATGCTATTGATTATGATTACAAAAAAAATTTTAAGTGATTTAGAGACCAACATAAAAAGTATAATTCCTTCCAAGATTTTGTCAATTAAAAGCCACTTTATTATTTTTTCCTCAAACTAAAAAATAAAATTTTCCTCTTGTAAAGGCACATGAGTACTTCTGTGTGTATGTCTGTGTATGACATCTGCTTATGTAGTGATTATCTCTTAAACTTTAAAAACAATTTCACCAAAGAAGAAAAATGACTGTATTCTGAATATATAGTAAGTGTAATTATGTGCAATGTTTAAAATATTTATCAAGTAAATATATATACATACTATTTACCTTTACTATTCTAGCTGATTTATTTTGACCTCAGACTACCTTAATATTATTCCATATTGTAGATAATTGTTTCTTTACAGTTATGACTTCTATAAAAACCAAAACATCATGCCTAGTAATTTAAATTATATTAAAAATCACATCTCTCCACAAATTTACATATACCAAAGAGCTTTAAGTTTTTAAATTCTGTATTATTGGCATTTCTTAAGTTTTTATTTGTTTGAACCTAAAAGTGATAAAAGCCAGCACTTATTATTTCAGAACAAGTAACAGGTTTCTTTTTAATCACCAAATGCAATCAATTATGAAATATAAATAAATTGTTCTTAATCCTAGAAAATTAGATTCCTGATATCAGAAACATGGCATATATATTTTTACAATTCAGTGTTTACTCCATTGACTTTAATGGATTTAGTTTTATTTCCACTTTATATACATGCTTTTGTGTCAAACAATACAAATCTGTTCAGTGTTACTATACAAAGTGATTATACAGTGATATGGCATATTATATTTCATTCATTATTTTCTATTTGAAAGGACAAAAATATTAGAAACTTTCTTTGTCTGTGTTTTTACTGCCAGATTAATTTTTTTTTTTTTTTTTTTTTTTTTTCACGGGCCCAGCCGCTCCGCGGCATGTGGGATCTTCCCGGACCGGGGCACGAACCTGCATCCCCTGCATCGGCAGGCGGACTCTCAACCACTGCGCCACCAGGGAAGCCCCAGATTAATTTTTTAAAGTAACTAAATATTTCATATGAGCTCATTGAGATAGATTGAGATTATTTATCCTTTGGAATTATCTCAAACACTATTATTTCTAATTATTAATTTATTTTTATACTGAGTCATATTTAGCATTTACGTTTTAATGAGAACATTTTCTTAAGTGGGAAATACTGATGGAACAAGTTAGATGCTTTCTATAATTTTTAATAATTTTAAGTTTGTTTACTCTTCCCTCTATGTGAAAACTTTTCTCCTGGCTCATAGCTTTGCTGATTTCTCATCATTAAAGATTTTTATGTAAACACATCTAAACATTACCCTTCTGAGTAACTTTCCAACACCATGATCTCCAAAATAACAGCTCTTTTTACCCAACATTACCTGATTAATCTAGTTTCACTTTCTTCTTAGAACATCTTATTATTCCAATTTTCTTTTTAATATACTTTGGTACATTCTTTATTGTCTGTCTTATTTTGTTTGAATATAAGCTTTATGAAAATCTCCCTAGTATAGAAAACATTTCTGTTACAGCTACTACAGGACCAGCTGGCAAAGGGTGTGCCCACACATGTATTACCATTCGTATTTTGGTCTAAGTAATATGCCTGCTTCTGCCAACTGCAACCACTGGTCCTTCTTACTCTTTTTGTTGTTGTTGTTATAACACATAACACAACTTTATTAGCAATCAATTACTCAGTGTTCAAATTTCCCTGGTTGTCTCATAAAACCTTATACAGTTGATTTGTTTGAATCAAGATCCAAATGAGGCCTATATAACTGTGATTGGTTGAGGTTCCTCTTATGTCTATTCTGACCCATATTTAGTTACTGGCCCCACCCAATTTATTTGTTAAAGAAATCCTGTAGTTGTTTGTTTGTCCTGTAGTTTCTTTTTTTTTTTTTAAAGTTCAATACCAGATTCATGTATTATTTTATTATTTTTTTTTTAAATTGGAATATAGTTGCTTTACAATACTGTGTTAGTTTCTACTGTACAGCAAAGTGAATCAGCTATACATATACAAATATCCCCTCTTTTTTTTTTGGATTTCCTTCTCATTTAGGTCAACAAAGAGCATTTACTCTTATGGAGTACTCCCTCCTTCCTTCCCCTTTCTTTGTTGTGAAAGCTTTTTGATAACAATGTTTTTTAAAATGGAGAAAGCAAACTAAATATTAGTAGTGCCTATAGTTTTTAGTGTTTGCTTTTTAAAGAGAACAATCACATTCTAAATATTTACCAGTAAATTTTTTTCCTCTTGCAAATATAATAGGGGCTAAATCAATAATTAAAAATTAATTTACCGTTTTTCTACTCTTTGTAAGCTCCCCAAAGAAGGCAATATGGCTCTTGGTAAATATGGAAGATATTTATGTACATTTCCTTTTAATAAAATGAAAAGGGAGTATTTAATTATGGTTACAGGTCAATGTTTCCAAATTATAGCCTTATAGGTGAGCTCTTTTGAAGTATTAATATATTAAAAGTAAAACTGATCCCAACATATGTCATTTAAAGATTTATGAAGATCAACCCATATATAATATAATAATCCCAATACGTGTAATTTAAATGAATTTTCTTTCAGCTTCTGTTATTAGTCAGCAAATATTTTACAAAAATTTACATGTATAATCTCATATAATTCTATCTGGTTGCTGCAATTTTAAAATATATTTTAGAGATGAGAAAACTGAGACTTAGGTTTGGAAATTTAAATAGCTCATATAAGTGACAGAGTAGAATTTGACTCAGACCCCCCTCTAGACATTACAGTTTTAACTACTATGCTATAATACTTACCAAAGACTTGGAGAAGTACCTGTTTTTCATCTTCTCCTGCCTTGTTTGTAGCCCTGCAGACATACGGGCCCCCATCACTATTGATTATGTTCCTGACAGTGAGTTCTTTATTGCTTCCTTTCAGTATGTACTTTTCATTTTCTTCAATAAACTTGCCATTCCTAAAGAAGAAAACAGAGGTTGATCTTCATAAACCTGACTTCATAACTTAAGAGCAGATCATACTCAACTTTTTGACCTGTAACTGTCAATATTTCATGACTACTGTCATTGACAGATAAAGTTATATTCCAGTCAAACATACACTTTTACTAGCTCAACAGAATTTAATGCATAAATATTAAAATTATACTTGTAAGTTGTTTTGACTTTAGAGACAAAAATAACGTTTGAGCTGTGTTGAAATCTTTTTTTTTTTTTAACATCTTTATTGGGATATAATTGCTTTACAATGGTGTGTTAGTTTCTGCTTTATAACAAAGTGAATCAGTTATACATATACATATGTTCCCATATCTCTTCCCTCTTGCGTCTCCCTCCCTCCCACCCTCCCTATCCCACCCCTCCAGGCAGTCTCAAAGCACCGAGCCGATATCCCTGTGCCATGCGGCTGCTTCCCACTAGCGCGTTTGTTAGTGTATATATGTCCATGCCTCTCTCTCGCCCTGTCTTGACACTCATCTTAGGCAAAAAACACTTTTATTCAATTTTCACTTTGATTATTAGCAAAAAAAAAAGTTTTATTTTCTGATTTAAATTTCAAACACACATTTCATGTTGGTGAGTCAACACATATTTATGAAATGTACTTCTTTACTAGGTTCCAGGGACACGTTTAATATAATTTCTACGGAAACACCCTTCAAAGACAAAGTAAATGCAATTTAAATAAATAATGAATTTATATTGCACATAGGTTCTGCCAATAAAAGGGTAAGAGGAAAGAATTACATGAAAACAATTATAGAAATTATGCTGTGTATAACAATTTAATTCATTAGTTAGGAGAAGAAATTTTTCTCAGATATAAGTATTTTTAAGTAGTTTCCAATGTCTTTCTGGACTGAAATAGTGTTCATTTTTTTTCAATTCTAGTTTTGTTGTTCATTAAAACAACACCTTTTGAACTTGTTTTACAATAACTTACAGTAAAAAAAAATATTTTACATGCATTTAAATCTGAAACAATTTCTACAATTCCCCTTAATATGTGTGAAGTCTTATATTGTACATTCTTTTTCATATTATTTTATTTTCCTCATCACCACTTCCTCCTTCTCCTTTTCTTTCTCCTTTTTTACTTGTCAACATGGTAAAATGGACAATTAGTTGATTTTAAGACCCACTAATGTAAAAATTTAGGATCTACCTTTAGGGGTGGGGGGATTTACTTGTCCATACAAGTGCAAATTACAAAAGAGGAATATCTAAAAGGATTATTAAAAATCTTACCTAGAATGAAAGAGAATATTTTTCTGATACTCTAAATGATCTTTGCAGTGAATTCTAGTTCTGCTTTCTAGAAAGTACTGCCACATATCTTAACACAGTCCTTGTCTTTCTATGACTCAGTAACATCTATTTTTCCAGTTTTTATTGACATGTGTAAACACAACATGAAATGTGCAAAAATTCATGAGTGGTGACAAATTAGGCCTTAATAAATACTAGTGACAAAAGTATATAGTGCTCTGTACTTTTCTGTTTTTTTTTCATATTTTCACTAATCAAATATTTAGAAGTATAAATAATGACAAGATTTCAGAACTTTTGCCTAGAATTTTATGTATGGATAAGGCTTTCACCACAATTAGTGATACAATATATTTCTTAATCTAGTCAATAAAAAAGTATTCATTTGTCTCATTATCATCATCATCCAGAAGTTTCAGCAATTTGTGGTTTAGGAAACATTTTCCTTATATTATTAACCTGGTTAAATACAATTAGCTCACAGATGTGCATTTTCCCTCTCCACCCTCATTCACAGATCAGATAACTAAATTTTAAGTATGATTTCCCCACCTGTCAATTCATGGATGAAGAGACTTAGATTTAGTTTGTAATATAAGCAGCAGGTTAACTAAGTTCTAGTGTTCTGTATGATAAAGAGATTATTTCTGTACTTCATGTGAAATATTGTGCTAAAGGTTTGAAGTACAGCAAATGAGTGAGACAGGGTCACCTATCATGAAGAATTCATAGTCTGATTGATAGTAATAGAGGGTAATATAGATCCCATTAATGCATTTATTCATAACTTTGTGTGTGTGTTGGGAGGGGTGGGGTAGGGGATCTATTATAATAGAAGAGAATGAAAAAGATGATGGCTGAAATACTCTGGGAATTTTCATGGGAAAAATATCCATTATCTGAGCTTTGAAGTGGATAGTTAGGTCTTGAAGAATTTAAAGGAAGTTAGGCTGTAAAGATTATGTTCCCTTGAAGAGCTCAATTTAAAAACATCATTAAAGAATAATAACTCAGGTAATAGGTCTTAATACTTCTCTCTCAACAAACCCATTATATAGAAAGTACTCATTGTTATTCATAGTACATTTCTATGGAATGTCAATGTCTGAAAAAGACTCCCAAAGGATTCTGATGAAATTCCACTGGGCCATCCTTTGAAATTCTAACCACTTCTCTAAATGCCACTTTTCCAGGCAAAAGAAAGTAAGGGTTAGGATTAGAGGATTCATGGAAATGATAACAAAGGGAGAACAATTCCGCTCTTGACCACAGTGGAGTAACAAAACCATATTTACTCTCTCATTTTAAACAACACAAACACTTGACACAGAGATTAAATAACAGTTTTCAACCATTGGTCAACAGGTAGCACATGACAGTGACCTCTGAGGACCACCATAGTTTACTACCTGAAGGCAGTTTCCAGGCTGCCCCTTAGAGAGGAAGGACCCATACAGAGTCAGGCAGTGTATGTGAATTGGAAGACAGAATTCTCAGTTGATAGAAGTTAAAGTGGCTAGAATTTGCAGGTAAGAAAATGTGAGAAGAAGGCACAAGAAAGAGAACTACAGAGATCTGCAGAGGTTTCCAACCAATCTCTAACTGAGTACTAATCAGTGAGTGTACTCCAGTAAGATTTTCCAAGAGTAAGGAAAGGACCATTGGAAAAGATAAAGCACAACAATCCCAGGAGCTCACAAAAGACCAGGAATAATTTGCATCCTTATCATCCAGAGTAGAAAGACCTCCTAAAACACAAATTTAAACATATTAAATTGCCTCCTTACAAGAATACTGCTTCAGTAATGAAGCCAAGTTAATCTTAGACTGCAGCTTGTTCTGTATCCACCTAAAACAGCCTAAAAGCAACCTCAAGAAGATCAAACTTTCCCCATGTAACTTAACTCCATTCAAAGCTAAAGTAAACGAACATGAAAATATCCAACACCTCAAAACATAAAATTCTCCATGTCTGAAACCCAGTAAAAAATTGACAGGATAGTAAATAGGTAGGAAAACATGACCTATAACAAGGGAAAAAAATCAATCAATAAAAAAGATCCAGAAATGATACAGATGATAGAATTAGTAAACAAGACCATTAAAATAGCTATTAAAATATATTCTATATGTTAAAGGAATTAAAATATGGGCATGGTAAGAGAGAAATGGAAGACGAAAAAAGGCCTCCATCAAATTTATAGACAAAAAATAGAATGAAGAAAAATACTCTGGTGGGATCAAAATCAGATTAGACATTACAAGTGAGTTCATTCCAAGGAACTCAAGGTTGTTTTAGCATTTGAAAATCAATGGAATTCACCAATTTAAAGGGCTAACAATAAAAATCCATATGGTATTCTCAACAGAAGTAGAAGAAACATTTGAATGGAAATGAAGAAAGTGATATTAAGAGTTTCTGCTTTTACTCCCACTTTGGTTTCCTGGTTCTCTTTGTGAAAATTTCTTATTTTTCCTCAATGTTTGGTCTTCAACTACCTTCTTTACTGGTTTCACTCATACCTCTTGGAAATATTATCTCTATGCAATGGGTAGTGTCTGGATTTTTCTCTCTGCACTGCTGCCCTGATAGTTTTTGGAATTTTTTTCACAAAGATAACATGTCTATATCTACAGATAAATATGTCACAATGAAAACTTCGCTCTGATACCAATTTTACCTCTGTTAAGAACACTATCACATACTCCCATTCTCACATATTATATATCCAGCTACTAGAATAATTATTATTTTATTCCATTCAAACGATGAGGCTAATGCCATATGAAAAAATGGAAGTGCAAAATCATGAATGTAAATTATCCAATTATATTAGCCTCTGAATCTGATTTATTCTAGTCTGTATGATAATTATATTTCCACTTACATATGAGAATTTTAAACAAATGTTAAACTTTAAGAAAATAGTCTAAACTGAAAGTCAGTCTCTCCGGAAAGATAAAATGATGAGGATAAGACTCTAGACCAATATTTGTTCATTGTAATGAATGATCCAGGAGCTTTTCCTTGATGTGATTAGATCTAATATTGACTGTTAAGGATACACACTAGAAACCAGAAGTCTCTGAGATACATGATAATTATCTAGGGTGAATGTGTTAATGCTTGATGTGTAATTCCTTTAAAACTACCAACAGTGAGTCAGAAAGGAATTATTGTCTGCAAAGAACTTCTAGGAACACCTGTCTGAAGAAATATCTTGTTTATTGCTACCTGCTATGTTAAAGTGATAAAGGTTTGAAACTTGAAGATAGTATCAGTAAATGTTCAGAAAGTAATAAAAAAATAGTTTTGAATTTCAATTATTCTCCTTAATTTTTTTTTTTAAACCTAATCCTTATTATGGACACTTTTGCCAATTTGAATATAAATTTCTAATTGTTTTCTTGTGACTATTCTTATAGTATATGATTTATGCAGTATAGAAGTGATTCTATAAATATTTACAGATTTGCTTGAGTAGTAACCTCAATTAATAACTAATACATATTTAAAAACTGTCCATTTTTAAACTTTAATTGTCTCCCTTTTAACAGTGTGAGACACAACCTAAAAGAGTGGAATATTTTGATATCTGTTTGATGTTAATAGAAATCAAATAGCATTTAAAAATTCAAAAAAAGTAAACTGTAAAACAATAGATTTAGAGAATTTATTCATTTGAACATTTTGTTACATAACATTAAATTTATTGAAATTTAACTCTACACAACTAGCTTTTTCTGTAATAATATGGTACACAAATAAAATTACAATTATATTTAATAAAATATAATTTTGTATACATACAACAGTGGTGCCATCCATACTAGAATTCCCACTTGTGGGTACTCTCTAGTAGGAACAATAAAATGGCTGCATTTGTCACAGGGCTCCTGGGTCTATTTTGGCCAGAAACATGCCTTTTAGATAAAATGACCAGGGCTATGAGCACAGCCTTTGACTTGTGTTAAATCATTCTGTTGCTCTCTTTAACAAGTTAATTTAACCAACTTAACTGAAAACAAAAATCATTTTCAACTGAAATTCATAAACAATGTTTCCATTCTGGACAGAATGATAAGACTGTAAATATTTTTCCAGAAGCGTGACTATGGACACAAGCCAAAGGGATGTGGGTGCATAACCTACCTGTACCAGGAAATGGTGGGCTCAGGAGAGCCAGAGGCTCTGCAGGAAAATGTCATCTCCTCTCCTCTCTCTGCTGTGGCATTAAAGGATTTCTGAGGCATTGTGATTGCTGGTGGCACTGAAAAACAGATGAATGTAGATTAAATAGAGATGAAAAACATTTTACCAACACCACTGGGACATTTTTACTGTTTTTTTTTTTTTTTTTTCTTTTAAAGCTAAGCTTTACAACTTCTGCACTTATATCAAGAGGACTGACTTGGTTGCATAGTAAAATGACTAAAATCACTGATCTGCCTTCTAATATACAATAATTAGATAATTCACTGTAATGCTGTTTTACTATTTTTAATCTATAAAACTAGACTAAAAATAAACTAGACATTTTAGCAAATATATATATATATATATATATATATATATATTTACACATACACACACTTTTATGAACTATTTCTTACAGAAAGACAGACAATACCACCCTGACTTACATAAATACTGAGATCTACTTGGAGCATAAATGGATTTCCTATTTGGGTTCTCATCAGTGTATGTACTTCTATAAGCAAGCATTCAAGACAGGGCTTTCAAATTAAGTGTCAAACCATAATGTTCTTTCTGATTAAGTACACTTAATTTCTTCAAACAACTATAGAACATTTTATGAAGAGAACCTGCTCAATCCATAGAGAGTATGAAATAGATTTTCATGAACAATTCAATTTTAAAATTAAGCTTCCCCAATTTCTAACTAATTACATTGTAAAAACTGTATATGTTGCACATTTTGAACACGTTGAAACTGTTACTGAAATGCACTGTTTGCAATAAACAAATCAATGACATCCATAACAGAAGCTAAAATTTCAAAGTAAAGCATAAATTTTTATTTAATGTACACTTTTATGATTTTTCAATTGATATGATGAAATGATATTCCTAAAATTAATTATTTAATATATTTGATTTTACATATCCTAAACAACATGACCAGACAGGCATTTAGAAATGTGATTTTAATTAAATATCTCTACAATAGCATTCAGGTCAACACTGATGTTGATTATCACAATTGACGGTGGGGATAGGAACTGATATGTATCTTAGTAATTAAGCATAATTAATCAAGTTTCTGCCTTTATGAATTTAGATACAAGGTGCATGACATGTCATGCTGTCTGTAAAGTAACATAATAATTACTAGTATTACAGTAGGATGGACTTTTCTTTTTCAGATGTTAACTCTGCATTTTAAGTCATTGAAATTTGACTATAGTATTCTATAGTATTCATGAAGATAGAAACATTTTCAAACAGAGATCCATATGTTCCAGTTCTTGTCCTGTTACTATTACTAACCTAAACAAGTTATTTATTCTTTATCATAATTTTATTATCTATAAAGTGAACTGTATATGCTGGATAATCTCTAAGAATTAACAAATCTTAATCTCTGTGTTTTATGATATGTTAACTCTGCTAAGGACATATGTGTTCTTATTGTAGTGTAGATTTGTAGAAAAATATTAATATTACATGTTTAGATACGTTGAGGTACTTTGAAGAGTAATTCTAGAACTATTCTGAAGAAAAATAGCATCAAAATCTGCAGAGGTTTTCACTAGTTCAGATGTCAAGATGTTCAGGCAGTTTGTTAGCTACTGTTTCAACTGTACAGCACTTTTACATATATTACCTTATTGCTTCTGAACTCACTGTTGAGTTGGATTAAATAATTTTAAAAGAGGTAACAATTATATTTCATCTGATTACTTTTTTCTCATAAGACCAGCATCTACTCTATTTTATCTTTTTAAAAATACTTTTGGCATTTGACTATATCTGAAATGTCCAGTTTTAATAACTTTACCAAGATTTATGTTCTGTACCCATTAAGTAGTCAATCCTTTGTAAGTTTCTGTTTGTATATTTTAGCTTCAAGAAGCATGGGGATGTGTAGAGAATGTGTCTTCTATGTCTTGCAGTCTTTTTCTCCACCCACTTTCCTTCAAATGTTTTTTGGAAGATAAAGAATACAGTATTAACCATGAAATACTTATATGGTTCTGATTAACAAATACCAATAATTTCTACAAATTCATTCAGGATAGGGATAACAAACTCCACTCTACCATTGTCGGGAAAGCAACTCTTTTCTAATTTATTGATTATTCAGACCTGTCCTAAATGTATATCATCAAATATATTCACATGTAGATCCTTTAACTGGCAGAGGACTGCTAATCATAAGATTCAGCCTTTTCATAATTACCTTTTCTTGTTTTTACTTTTAAGCCTGCAAGACACTTAGACATTCACATAAGAGAGGACTTGGGGAAGATAGCAGAGTAGGAAATACCAGGCATCTGTCTCCACACCTACACAGCAACTTGCACTGTCAGAATCTGTCTAATGTATCTATCTTGAAACTGTGGAGTCTATTGAATGCTTGCAACTTCCAGGCAAAGACATGGAAGATAAACTATTGTTAATACTGGTCAGTTTCAGCTGTTAGTACACTGGCAGCTACCTATCCCCCTCTCCATCTGAGGCAGGAAGCTGTGCATATGTTCTTAGAGTAGGTTGCACAAAGAAATCCAGGATAGGCAAAAAGAACTTTGTCATTCAGATATCAAGGATCTGTGCACTGATCACTGACTGATGCTTTTGATCACAGAGGTGCAGATGAAGAGGTAGTGGCCATTATTGTTACACCTTCCACAACTGTGGGATCCATGGGATTTAATGAACTCTCATTCTTTTAGTCCCCCCTTCATTTTTCTCTTTTTACCATTTTCGGAGCCAGACATTAAAGACTAAGACATTCAAAAACAACTGCATATAATGGAAATATTAGAAAGTGACCATGCATGTCCAGGGAAAGGTGTACGCTTAGAAAATACCTGAGGATACCTTAAGTTTACATCTCAGGCTGATCTTTGGCATACAGACAGCCTTCAATAATAATAATAACCAGTAACAGTAAACCCTGGGATTGAGAAAGAATCTGATTTCCATAGGAAGCACTTATTATGTTCAAATATCCAGTTTTCAGAAAAAAAAAAAAAAATCACAAGGCATACAAAGAAATAGGAAAGTATGGCCCATTCAAAAGAAAAACTAAATCAATAGAAACTGTCCCTGAAAAAGACCTGAGGGCAGATATGCTTGATAAAGACTCAAATAACTGTCTAAAAGATGCTCAAAGAACTCAAGAAAGAAGTGTAAAAACTCAAGGAAACAATATATGAAGAAAATGGAAATACCTATAAAGATATAGAAAACCTAAAAAAAAGCCAAAAAGAAATTCTGAATCTTAAAATTACAATCACTGAAATGAAAAATTCATTAGAGGGATTCACAAGCAAATCTGAGTAAGCAGAAGAAAGAATCAGTGAATACGAAATAAGGCAATGAAAATTCTTGAATCTGAGAAACAGAAAAACAAAAGATTGAAGAAAAGTGAATACAGCCTAAAGGACCAGTGCAACATAATCACGTAGACGAACAATCACACAGTGGGAGTCCCAGAAGGGAAGTGAGAGAGAAAGGGACAGAGTGAATATTTGAAGAAACAATGGCTGAAAAGTTAAGCTATGAATATAAACATCCAAGAAGCTCAACAAACTACAACTAAGATGAATTCAAAGAGGACCAGGTCAAGACACATTATAATGAAATTTTCAAAAGGCAAAGGCAAAGAGAAAATCTTGGAAAGCAGCAAGAGAAGAGTGACTCATCACAAACAAGGGATCCTCAGTAATTATCAGCAGATTTTGCATCAAAAACTTTGGAGGACAGATGGTAGTGGGTGGATATATTGAAAGTGCTAAAAACAAACAAACAAACAAAAAAAAAAACCGTCAACCAAGAAACCTATATCCTGGAAAACTGTCTTTCAACAGTGAGGGAGAAATTAAGACATTTCAGATAAGTAAAAGCTGGAGGAGTTTGTTACCACTAGACCTGCCCTGCAAGAAATGCTCAAGGGAGTCCTACAAGATAAAATAAAAGGACACTAGAGAGTAATTCAAAGCCATATAAAGAAAGAGCTCAATAATGGTAAATACATGGGCAATAAAAAAGCTAGTAGTACTGTAACAACAGTTTGTAACTGCACTTTTTTCTACATGATTTGAGACTAATATATATTTTAAAAAGATATTAGTATGATTTTAACTATGTCTTATAATTCCAGATTTTGTTTTCTACATAATTTAAGAGACTAATGCAATTTAAAGAATTGTCAGTTCATGTTTTGAGACATAAAATGCATAAAGATGTAATTTTGTGATATCAACAACCAAAAGGAATGGAGTTAAGCTTTAAAGGAGCAGAGTGTTTTATATTTATTGAAGTTAAGTTAGTATAAATTTAAAATAGAGTGTTATAACTTTAGGACATTAAATGCAATACCACCAATAACCACAAAGAAAATAAGTATAGAATATACACAAAAAGAAATGAGAAAAGAATTTTAAAGTTTCACTACAAAAAATTGACTAAACAAAAAGAAGATGGTAATGTAGGAAATGAGAGAAAAGAAAATCTATAAGACATTTAGAAAAACAGCAAAATGACAGAAGTCCTTCCTTATCAATAATTACTTAAATGGAAATAGATTAAATTTTTCAATAAACAAACAGAGATTGGCACAATGGCTAAAAACACATGATAAAATTATGTCCTATCTATAAGAGATTCACTGTCAGTAATGAAGACACAAATAGATTGAAAGTGAAAAGATAAAGATATAATAACCAAAAAAGAGAAGGGGTGACTATACAAATAGACAAAATAGGCTTTGAATCAAAAAGTTTATAAGAGGAAAAAAACATTGTATATTAACAAATGTTTCAATATAGCAAGAAAATATAACAATTATAAATATTTATGCTCCTAATAGTAGACCATCAAAATACATGAAGCAAAAACTGACATAATTGAAGGAAGAAATAGTCCTACAATAATAGTTGGAGACTTCAACAATACAGTCTCAATAATGTATTGAATGACCAGAGAGAAGATAAGTAAGAAAATAGAGGACTTATACAACACAATATACCAACTAGTTCTCACATATATACAGCATACTCTATCCAAAAAAAGAGAGTAAAC